CTGGGCCAAATTATCCTGGCAAACACATTAGTGTATTCATGGAACCCTTAGTTGATGAACTTATACATGCTTGGCAGCAAGGTGTGTTGACATATGATCGTGCCACCAAGACGAATTTCATCATGCGAGTCTCCTTTCTTTATTCTATCCATGACCTTCCAGCATATGGTATATTTTCCGGTTGGTGTGTGCATGGAAAGATGCCATGCCCAACATGTATGGAGGCACTCCAAGGAAAAAGGTTGAAGTTTGGTGGAAAGTACTCATTCTTTGATTGTCATCGCCAGTTCCTCCCAATTGATCATAGTTTTAGAAGTGATTCAAATTCTTTTCTATCAAACACTACAGTTAGCAATGAACCACCTCTTCGTCTCTCAGGTCAAGAGATCCGTGCCCGGTTAGATAACCTTGTCCCTGCTGCTAATGGAGATAAGTTTGTAGGCTATGGCAAGGATCACCATTGGACACATATATCTAGTTTGTGGAGACTCCCGTACTTTCACAAACTAGTACTTCCTCATAACATCGATGTCATGCACAATGAGAAGAATGTCGCTGAGGCAATTTTCAATACTTGCTTTGACATTCCAGACCAAACGAAGGACAATATCAAGGCTCGCCTTGATCAAGCAGCACTTTGTAATAGACCTGAATTGAACCTCATCCAAAAACATGCATCTAGTCAGTGGGTAAAGCCAAGAGCTGACTTTTGCTTGAATAGAGCTCAGAAGAAGGAAGTATTAGAATGGTTTCAAACATTGAAATTCCCTGATGGCTATGGGTCGAACCTAAGGAGAGGAGTGAATTTGAAAACCATGCGGATCAATGGGTTAAAAAGCCATGATTACCACATAATGATGGAACGTATCTTTCCAGTCATGTTCCGTGGATACTTGCCAACTCATGTGTGGGAAGTGCTAGCAGAGGTGAGCTTCTTTTATCGCAAACTTTGCGCAAAACAGTTTGATCCTATAGAGATGGCAAACATGCAGTCTCAAGTAATTGTTTTGGTTTGCAAATTAGAAAAGATCTTTCCACCTGGATTTTTTAATCCAATGCAACACTTAATGATTCACTTACCATATGAAGCTAGCATGGGTGGACCTGTGCAATTTAGATGGAATTACCCCGTTGAAAGAGGCCAAAAGTATCTTAAGAGCAAGGTTAGAAACCGAGCACGTGTTGAAGCTTCCATAGCAGAGGTTTACATACTAGATGAAATCTCAAACTTCACATCCATATACTTTCCTGATCAAGTGCAGACAATTCACAATCCTGTTCCTCGATACAATGTTGCTACTCAGTCTACTGATTGTTCCCTAAGTCTATTCTCTATTAGGGGGATTCTACTAGTCGTGGAGTCCCTCGACACCTAACTCGTGAAGAGTGGAATGCTGCCATGTTGTATGTGCTTACAAACCTTACTGAAGTGGATGACTACATTGGGTATTAACTATGAAATTGATATGAGTTACTTCTAGTTCATAGCTGCATATAATTTTACTTTAAATCAGTGTGTGCATTTTTATCTTGCAGGAAATTCATAGATGAGGAATGGACTAGACGAGGTGTCCCAACAAGGCAACAACAAGAGAATATCTTACGGAATGGTGCTGGGAGAGATCGTCCTAATTTCGTATCTTGGTTCTATCAACAAGTAATTTCTTTAGCCCAGACTTTACTTATATTATACGCGTAGCAATGCATATCCTTTCAGATCAGATTAGGAAATCTAGCTAGCTTACTTCGATGTAATATCTTGCATGTGTATACATACTTTCCTAACTGTTGAACATTAAGTTCTTTCATGAATGTTCCTGCAACTAACCTAGGTAATCCCCATCAAACCAATAAAGTATTACTGCTAAAACTCTAAATTTGGTGACTTCTTATATCAGTGCTATAAATTTGGTCCTACAATAGTAAAGCACATTTGGATTAGTGCAAGTTCCTAGTATGCATATGGCTTTTTCATACTACAATCTGAGTTAATTTTTTTACAAGCATTATGAAAATAGTACTGAACATGTATGTACATGTCATTAATATGGAGACACTTCTCAATTGATCATCTGTTAGGTCGGAAATCTGGAAAGAATAAAATCCTTGCCAATTTCTACTAACAAAAAGAACCTAGCCAATTAATAACTTGATAACTTCAGTTTTGAAATTCAAGACCTCAATAATTAATAGTGCCTTCTTCCATTTTCTTTCTGTTTTCATTAGTTTGCAGTTTAACGCCTCTTAATTGCATTTGTGTCAATAACCTAATAATACTTATGTTTTTCTATAACATAACCTTCAATATTGCCATAATAGAACATTATGCCACAATTTATTGACACATTATTTCCTTTCATTTCACTGCTAGAGTATGTTAGATGAAACTATGAGTGATGATTTGAGGCAAGTAGCTAAAGGATGCCACACTCGAGTCTTGCTATATAATATGTATGATGTGAATGGGTATCGATTCCGAATACACAAATATGAACATGAGAGGCCAAATGCAACTACAATAAATAGTGGTTTGGTGACTATAGGACAGGGAGAAAATAGTGACACAACTGAGTATTATGGTTACATCAAAGAAATAGTAGAAATTAGCTTTGATGGCAGAAAACCTCTCACACTTGTGCTCTTCAATTGCCATTGGTTTGACCCAAGCAAAGTGAGGTATACACCAAGATATGGTCTGGTTGAGGTTGCTCATGCGTCAATCCTTCCAAAATTCGAACCATTTGTTTTGTCTCATCAAGCGACACAGGTGTATTACATGCCGTACCCATGTAAATCTGTGCAAGACCTCACTAATTGGTGGGTTGTGTATAAGGTGCAGCCAATTGGTAGACTACAAGTACCCAATGATCAAGATTACAATTTTGTTCCTAATAGCAATGTTGTCCACTATTTCCAAGAAGATGGTCTGTCCGGCAGTTTTGTAATTGATCTTGGTCAAGAACTCAACAATGATCCTGAGCAAGTTGCCATTAGCAGGGATACTGAAGATATTTGCAATGACAAGGACTTGAAGCTTCTCAATGGATCATCTATTCAAGATGAAGATGATGATGACGAGGATGATGAATCTTATTGCACTTCCTCATCTGCTGAAGATGATGAGGTTCCCACTAGTAGGGATATCTTATTTGACGAGTATTTCTAAGGTACATGGTTCATTTTTTTGATGGAGACTATAATGCCAATTTTTTATATCCTGTGCCTCCCCAAATGAATATTTCCTTTGTCAACTATGCACAAGAATTAACCTTTCATAAACTAGTTGCGTGCTGTAATAATATTTGGCAGTCATCTTACTTTCGTAAAATTTCAGGCATACAATTGGATCATTGCAAAGGATTGCAGTTGATTGGTGCTGTCAATACACAAATTTGGAGTTGGTTACTCACTAGCCTCTAACATTTCTCTATTGCCTCCCTGGGAGAGGTTGTAAGAACTCAGACTCACCTTGTTACTATTGCATTATAGCCACTTCAGACAGCCATTTATATTGTGTTCTTGTATCATTGTATTCAAAAATTCATACTGGGATAATATACAGTTAATGTTCACCTGACATTTGTGTGGTTCCATATGTGATGCTTGTCTGTCATGTTTGGATGATATGTATATGCATACATGTTAGTTGCCTGCCTACTGTATCAGTGCAGTACAATCGTGAATGTGTGAAACCCTGTACAATGAGCTACATAATCTTACCGTGTATTCATCTCAAATGTCACCATGTGCTAAATCTCACGGGAAGAATTTCAACCTTCCCGGGTCACTAAAAACTCTCGGTAAGGTGTTTCATGTTCCTGTGTTTTATGGATTTCTTCCCGTGAGTTCCAACCACCCCGTTTCACTCCGTTCCATGCATGACGTGTCGTTAACTGGAAAGTTACCGGCAGGGTGTTTTCACACGGTAAGCTTTCAGCACATCCTAAGTTCGCAAGCAGTTTCTCACGGGAAGAGTGACACGGTAAAGGTGAAAGGCTGCCGAGTACACCTTCCCGAGAGTTTGCTCACAGGAACGACCTTACCGTGAGTTTTAGCCCTGTTACCGAGTTGTTTAGGCACACGGTAGACTTCCATTCCCTGGTAGTGCATGTGCGCACCTCCACTGGACCCACCCACTTGTCCCTCCCCATGTTACACAAAAGATGTTTTACCTAGTGTAATTATAATGTTTCACTATATATAGATCTAATATTACAGTGAATTAAAATATTCTTTTGCAACAAATCACCCACATTTTGGAAACTCTCTATTAAGGTAATTTGGTTTATTTTTTGTTCCACCAAAAATATTTCACCCAGTGTACTCGCAATGTTTCACTATGTATAGTTCTAATGTTGCAGTGAACTGAAATATTCCATTGCAATAAAAAACCCACATATTTTGGATACCTTCTATTAAGGGAATTCGTTTCATTTTCTCTGTTCCACCAAAAAATGTTTCACCTAGTGTACTTATAATGTTTCACTATGTATGAACCAAATGTTGCAGTAAACTGAAACATTCTTTTGCTATTTACAGAAACATTATTTTTATATAAGGTAAAACAACATCCGATTTAAACGAGTAAAACATTTTCGATCTACTTAGTGAAACAATTCCGATATACCTGGTGAAACATCATGCAACATTTAAAAATAATTTAATAATAGGCTAAATTTTTTTCGTCGGAATATATCCATATGTGGTCTTGTTTTGATGATTTAATTGCAAACGAATTTAATGGTGCAATCGGGTTATGATTTGGATAAGTAATTTAAGAGAAAAATCAGTTTAAAGTAATTTTGTACGTAAATCGTACACCATTTTTTAACCTCCTCCCATCGGGCGTGTGCGCTAGAGCCGGAGTCGCGTCCCACATACATTCATACATCTTGTAGCGCACAGGTTATTTTTCGATCCGTTTTATTTCGCTTTTGTCGATAGTTTCGGTATTGGACTTAGTAGTTACGAGGTACGACCAAAACCTTATTGGTAATTAACGTCGGACTCATCAGCCGAGATAGATCAGATCGATATGGAGGAGCCGCCGTCCTCGTCGTCGTCGCCGGCTCTGCCGCTCGACATCGTCGTGGAGATCGCGGAGCGCTCCGACCCCATCACGCTACTCCGATGCGCCGCCGCATGCAAGCACCTCCGCCGCGTCATCTCCGGCGAGGGCTTCCGCCGCGACCTCCGCCTCCGCAACGCGGACGGCTTCGTCCCGGGCCTCCTCCATGGCTTCTTCTTCCAGCCTCGCTGCCCCAGCCCCCATGACCACGGCTACAACTACGAGCCCCTCCGCTTCGTCGCCGCCGGCCGCCACGATCACATCGCCAGCGGAGACAACTGTCAGATACCGTCCTTCGTGTCGGACTCCGACGAGAATAATCCTTGTCGGCGCATCGAACCCGTGGCGGCGCGCGGCGGCTTCGTCGTCCTCCGGACCGGCGAGTTTTCCGGGAAGGTGTGCAACCCTATGACGGGCTACGTGCGGGCCATCGACATGCCGAGGAAGACAAGCAAGGGTGAGGGGTCGTCCTACCTAGTGCTCACCGCCGACGACGGCGGCGATGGCGTCGACGTCGGAGTGACCTCCGACGACTCCGAGCTCCACCCGTTCAGGCTCCTCGCCGTGCGCCTTTTCGCGAGGACACGCGTGGAGATGCAGGCGTTGACCACGGACACTGGCACGTGGGGCCCAGCCACCACGCTCGCCGTCGTCAATACCGGCTGCCTCGGCCCGCGCCCCGTGCTGGTCCGCCCGCCCGTCGTCGTCGCCGGCGTCGCCTACTTCCTCGGCGAGATGTCCGGGAGAGACGACCGGACATACCAACTCCAACGCCGGATGTCCCGGGTGAGCTTCGACCCACCATACCAGCACTCGCCGCCGCCGTCCTACACCTACTTCGTCCTCGCCGTCGACGTCTCCATCCGCCGCCGCGACGGCGAGACCGGGGGAACAACAGCGGCGGCGACGATCATGCCGTTGCCCACCACCGAACTCCGTGCCCCGTCGTGCACCGGCGAGGCAACCGTCACGCCGGGGCAGCTCCTGCTGGCGCCGTCGTCGTGGCGCGGCGGCGACAGGAGGTCGTCGTCGTTGGCGCTGCTCGTCGGCCGAAGCACCCAGGTGGAGATATGGACGATGAAGCTGACCTGCCACGGGATGGCCTTGCTCCGGATGGCGTGCACCAAGGTCGTCGACTTGATGGGAGTACCCCGGAGTCCCTGCTCGCCGCCGGTGTCGGAGTCGGAGGTGGCGCTCCTGTGGTCCGGCGACGCGAGCGGCGCCGTGGTGCTCCGGCTCGGGGGGACGGTCTGCCTGCTGGACCGGCGGCGGCGCGCCATTGTGGTCCGCGCGCTCGGCGAGGAGTTCGTCGAGTTTCGCTCTGGGCGTCGCCATGTGTTGCTGCCGTATGAGGTCGGTTTGTCCAGTTGGGTTCCCTCGATTTCTCCATGATTAGTTTCGTGGGGGAACTTGAAGTCACCATCTGCGCACCTGTACCGTTGGTTGGTGCTAGTACATAAGCGCCCAAAATAAGCGCAACCATTTGTTTCATGTGCCCAACTTTAATCTTTTGTTACGGATAAAGTATTATTCATATTTTATAATCTAATAACAGTAAAAATACTAATCATAAAAAATTTTAAATAAGATGGACGAAACAAGATGAACAAAGTTGGGCATGAAAACTCATTGTTACGTTTATTTTGGGACGGTGAGAGTATGTGGTGAGTCTACTTCCTTTTACGAAAACAAAATAAGTTTAATCAAGTTAATTCCTGAAATGATGTTTGTGGTGTTCTGTAGGGCGTGGAAAATTTTGAAAAAAAAATTCGTAACCATGATTTTTAAAGGAAATTCTATTTCCCACATTGATTCACTTCATAAATTGCTTGAAATTTTAATAAAATTTCTAGAAATAATTTATTAATTGAACTTTAATCACGAAAGAAAATGGCGGCGTGATAGAGCAAGCAAAGGGGTGGCAAATGACAATAGAGGGGTGCAGTGAGTGGGCCATAAAGAAGCATTATGTCGACGGCTGATGGGATATCTACAAACTATAAAACATAATACTAATGACTATTAGGATCGATATTTTAGAATTACAATGACGATAAAGAGTAATATTTAAGGGTAGGCCATAAAAGAGTAATAACTCCGTCAAGGAATAGGCACGCGGCAGCGAGCGGCTCCGGCTTCACCGGCTGAGAGGCACACCTAAGGGCGGCGCCAAGCCAAGCAACAGCGTCGGCGGTCCGACGAAGCGGGCGTGCAAGCGGTGACGGGCACCGAGAGCGGCCGGGCTTCGTCGGCGGGGGGCGCGCCCGCCCCCCCCCCCCGCCCAAGCCAACTCGCACGCATGGGACGGTGGAGGAACTCCAAGACGGCGCGCGCACAGGGTGACCAACGCGACCTTTGTGGAGGTAAAGGTGCGGTGGTGTCGCTTCCTAGCAGTGGGGTTTCCCGGTAGAATTAGGGCTTCAAATCCGGTAAGAATCTGAACTCGAGCTTAGTTTTCTTAATTTGATTTGGACTAGAGAAAATGCCCGTGCGTTGCAACGGGTAAAAACGTTTTTGGATCGTATGCATTATACTATTTGTTTTGGACCAAAAGCTCATTTATTCGTTCCATTTCAGTCCTAGGCCAGCCCGCTACCTCTCTTTGCTTGGCCTGTCTCTCTTTGATCTAGCCCACAGGTAAAGTTGTAGGCCCAACTAGCATAGCCCACTGCTGTCTTCAACAATGGATAACATAGCAATACCTCCTCCTCCGGCCACCTCCCGCCGTCGACAACAACCTCCCCTTCTCTTGCGTCGCTGGCCGGCGCCGCCGGCATCCGAACCTCTCGTGACCTGTGGGCTGTGGCTCCGTGCTCGTTCGCCGTCCGCTCTGCCCGTCGTCGTGCTCGCCCACCACTAGCCGCCGCTCCACTGCCGCGCTCGCCCACCGCCGCTCCGCCGGTGAAGAGAAAAGTGAAGAGGAGAAGAAGAAAAGTGAAGAGAAGGAGAAAAAAAGATATGTGAAGCTGACATGTGGGCCCCACTTAATTTTTTTATTTTTTTTGCTAACTAGGATGCCACGTCAGCAAAACAGGGCAAAAATACTGCCAAGGGACCTCCAGTGAACGGTTTGAATGAGTTTAGTAGCGAACATTTCTGGTTTTGTGGTTGAGGGATCTTAAAAAATCTCGCTATTATGTTGAGGGACCACCGGTGAACTTATTCCTATTTGGATCGCTATACATTATACACTTCATTATACTCCTTGGTTTTGGGTCAAAACCCAGCCCAGTGCCTTATCTCTTTTACTTGACCTAGCTTTCTTTCACATAGCCCACAAGGGGAGATATAGGCTCAACTCGCATAGCTAGTTGATTGACGTCTTCAATCTTCAAACACCGGAAGAGTGTCTTTTTTTGTTGTCATTGTTCCTTTTTTTGGTCAGTCTTTTTTCTCTCCGTATTTTTTTCCCATCACATTTGATCTGCCTCTAATGCGTTCCCTCCTCATTAAAAAATCGATTCCCCACTACTACTCTATCATTTTTCCCATGATTTTTCTTTTCATTTTTCCGCTTTAATTTATGGGATCTAATATCTATTTAAAAGTCACTGTTTATATTCCGAGTTTTACCAATTTGCTCAGATTTTGATAAAAAGGGAAATAGTAGATCAAGTGTATAAAAACCCTCAACCAAATTTAGGAGATCGAATAGAAAAACTCATTTATTCTTCATTTTCGATCCCAGCCTAGTACGTTATTTCTGTGCTTGACCTACCTCTCTTTGACATAGCCCACAAGGGGAGCTATAGGCTCAACTCGTATAGCTAGCTGACTGCCTTCAAACCCTTCAAACCCTTTTTTTTCGTTGGTCCTTTTTCTATCCTTTTTTCTTTTTTGGCCGTCACGTTAGATCAGCCTCCTAGCATGTGTTTGGTTTGGGGATGGGATGGGATGGGTTGGTTCCATCCCTGTTTTTTGGAATGGGATGGTTCTGTTTTTTTGTTTGGTTGAAGGGATAGAACGAACCCTGTTTTTAGTTTGGTTTGAGGGATATGATGGGTTGGAATGATCCTATCTTTTGTTTGGATGGAGGGATGAACATGGGATGCTTGGATACAATTACCTCCACACATTAGTTGGTGAGGTTACCTCTCATAGTCTACAAACTACAAAATAATATTTCTACATGATGACCACACTATATAAAAAATTAAAATACCCTCCATATCACTATTTTTGAAAATAAGCTCCAGCAACTTCATTTCAGCATATTGGACAAGCTACAGAATAATGACAAGCTACCCAATAATGAACAATACTAGCAGTTCCATAATCAACCCCTCAAAAAACAATCACACATAATTAGCTCACATCTGATCCCATTTCAACCCATACATAGAGTCCAAGCCAAACATAATAAGAAGTTTCAAGTCGTGCACATAATAGCAAATTAAGGTCTTACACATAATAGCAAATTTAAGTCTTGCACCTAAGAATTCTCGGCCTTAAACATATTGGCAGTACAAAGTCATACATGATCATGGGCCCACCGGCAACACATAATACCAAAAGAACTACCCAACTCATCTAACAACGCTACATTGATCCAGAAAACTTCTCATTAATGAACAAGTGGACCCAATGTATCTTGTTTTCGAAAGGAAGTCCATCAAAAGCTCTAGCAATGTGAGGGTTGGCAACCAAATGAGCATAGTAAACAGATACATGGATCTCCTCAAACCCAGGAAGGCTTTTCAAGGTTTGAAATAAACCATCTGGCAGTTTATTGTCTGGCTCAGCGACCTTTAGTATAGCAGAAGCTAACTTGTCACCAACACTGGTGAATGCACCAATCAGCCCATCATCTTCAATTTCTTGTGTTCTGGCTTTCTTTGGCTTGCTTGCAGATGATGCCTCCCCACGATCATCAGTAGTGGCAGGGCCATCATTTTCCTCTTCATCATTTTCAGTTTGGACATCCTCTGTTCCTAGGACTGAATTTGAGTCCTTTGCATACTTTCCCGTAGCCATGGTGCTACCAAATATTGTAAGCATCTCACCATAGTGTGCAAGAGGTTTGTTAAAATAATCAGCATCAGCCTTGTGATCCTTCGGTGAAACAAAATTTTTTTAAGTAAATGCAATAAAACAAATGAATGGAATAAAGCACTAGGTCAAGACATTTACCTCAATATAGCCATTGTAGTGCTCATCATCAAGAGTAATGATGATATTTTTCTCATCCCAACCAGCGGCACTCACTTTCCTAAGCCTATTTATCTTTGTAAACTTTCTTTGCCATGTCTTCAAATGATTCTTAATTTGCTCACCCGTGAGAGTGCTGTTAAACCTTTCATTCACAGCCCTAGCACATGCATTGAGATGCACTGCCTTGAAGCCAGATGAGGTCCTTGTGCCTCCGGCCACAAGATTGGCAAGGTGTTTGAGCATGAAAGATGACATAGCTGAGGTCCATGAAGCATGGGTGCTTCCTCCCTTGCCACTATTGTTGTCCATTTTCTACCTGCTGTCAAATGAACCAGAAAATATCCATTTAGCAATATGTAAACCTAGAAAGTGTCCATTCAGCAATATAGTAAACAGAAATTGACCATTCACCAATATAGTAAACAGAAATTGTCCATTCAGCAATATAGTAAACAGAAATTGTCCATTCAGCAATATGTTAACCCAGAAATTCACCATTCAGCAATAAATCAACCCAAAAAAATTCAGCATTCAACTATCAACCAATGAAATGACCATTCAACAATATGTCAACCAACTCAGCATTCATCAAACCATAATTCAGCATACAACAATAGATTTATCCATACAAATGCAATTTAGCAAATGGACTACAACAAGCTGTCCATACAAATGAAATACATAAAAATGTTCATTGACTAATGAAATATTGTAAATAAGGTAGAAATACAAGTAGCCCAGCTACATATTACATTCCATGATGGCTATTACGGTCAGCCCACATCTGATCAGCTAAGCCCTGCCTGAACTGAACCATCAATGCATGGTCATTTGCTTGGCCGGTTAACGATTCATCAATGTCCTCACTTGACCAATCAGGCGGAGCTATAAGCTCATCAATTCCGTCATTTACGACCCAATTATGAATAATACAACAAGCTACAACAATATCTACTTGAGTTTGAAATGGGAAGAATGGAGTGGCATCATCAAGCACTTTGAACCTCCTCTTTAGTGACCCAAATGCACGTTCAACCGTCACACGGAGGGATGAGTGTCTAAGGTTGAACAACTCCTTCTCATTTTGTACCGGATTATTCCCCCATTCATTTAGATGGTACCGAACAGCACGAAAAGGAGGCAAGAATCCTTGTTTGGCTCCATATCCAGCATCAACTAGATAGTATTTGCCTATTATATGATCGACAAGTTGGTCACATTCCTAAATATCAACATTTGTCATGGATAATTTGATAAACTATTACCTTGTAATCTATTACCTTGTGGGACACGGAGGCCATTTTCACGTTCCAAAGCATCTCTTAAAACTACAGCATCATGTGCTGTCCCCTCCCAACCAGCCAAGACATAAGTAAACCGAAGATCAAAATCTACGGCTGCCATTACATTTTGAGTGGCATGGGACTTCCTACCACGAAAAGAAGACTCCACATTCTTACGAACCGAGGCTCTAATATGTGTGCCATCAATAGCTCCAATACAATCCTATTTTGTGTTCAACAACATTAAAAATTAGGGACCATATATCAATGTTCACATAAAGATAAATTTAGATAGGGATGAATCTCAGACCTTAAAGTAAGGATCCCATCTAGGGTTTCCTGCTATTTTAGTTGGAGTGTCCAATGAGGGGGGCCTGATTAGTTCATCTCGTAGCTCACCGATTGCATGAAGGACTTTGTTGAAATAACGGCTAACTGTTTCTCCAGACCTATCAAAATTAGTACGAACTAATCTATTTCTAAGGTTATGCCCCACTGTATGCAAAAACATAGCCACTTGTTCCTCAATACACATGTGAATGGTATCTTCAAGTAAACCACGATCCCTAAAAAGCTTACAAAAACGAAAGAAACTTGCCCTTCTAAGTCTAAGCATGTTGATACAAGTTGTATCGTTCCACCAAATTTTCGTTTCTAGGTACTCAATTCTTTTTCTATCCCTTTCAACCATTGGGCCATATCTAATACCTTCTCTCCTTGAACACCTCTTTCTTTTTCTAGACCTAATAATCATGGCCATCATCGACAACAATAAATTTGTAGCTGCAATACAAACTAAAAGCTTGGTCCTCTTGTCCATCTACAATACAACAAAAAAAAACACATGGACAACATCTACTGTCAAGCAATTGATAAAGGGATTTCACACATTCTTCAACAAAAACAGATATGCACAGATCTGAAAACGAAATCCTCATCCAAGGTTTAGGGTCTTTTTACCGTGGAGATTGGGAACCCCGATCTGCAGTTGGTGGCTACGAACACTTCGAATTGAAGGTGATGAGGTCCAGCGCCGCCGTGTCCTGCTCGCGCGCCGGCTTGAGCTCCCGAGAGCGTCGCCGTGCCCCTGCTCACGCGAGCGCCGCTGCAGCCGCGCGCGCCTCCGCAGCCCACGCCCGCGGCGCTGCTGCAGCCGCGCGCCGCGCCGCCCTCACCGCAGTCCGACCCGCGCCGCCTAACCGCAGCCCCTGCTCGCGCGCCGGCTCGAGCTCCCGCTAGCGCCGCTGCAGCCGCGCGTGCCTCCGCAGCCCACGCCCGCGCCGCCACAGCCGCGACCCGCCGCCGCCTTGCCCCTGTGCGCCGGCTCACCCAGGCCAAGCACGCGCCGCCGCCACCCTTGCAAACCCTAGGAAGGAATAGACAGAGAAGAGATAAGAAGAAGGGGAAAAAAGAGAGGTGAAGCGCTTCTGCTCTTACCGCGCGCGTGTCGCGAGTCACAGGTGCGAGGTGGGATCGTTTCGTCCGCCACTTTTTTCCGGATGGGGTTGTCCCGAATATTGAAGGAATATTCTCTTTTGGAACCATCCTATCCCTCCTAGTCCCTCAACCAAACAGCCATAAAAATGGGATGATCCCATCCCATCCCGGGATATCCTCCCAACCAAACACATGCCTAATGCGTTCCGTCCTCCAATTGATTGAAAAATCGATTCTCCACTACTACTCCATCATTTTTCTCAATGTTTTTTTCCTTTCAATTCTGCTTTAATTTATGGAATCTAATCTCTATTTAAAAGTCAATGTTTGTATCCCGAGTTTTATAGATTCGCTTAGATTTTGATTCAAAGGAAAGAAAACGGAAAAATGAGGAGGAATGGAAAAAAAGAAAAAAAGGGCGAAAATAGCCAAAAAAAAAAGAAAAAAACGCAAAAAAAGTGACGGACAAAAAAATACTGGAATCATTACATATTTTTTAATTAGGTATATATATAGGTATATAGATATAGATATAAATATAGATATAGATTTGGATTTGATTTGGATTTTGCAGCTCAGGGTTCTATTCAATTTGGGGATTTCGGCAAAATTGAAACCGATTGATCTCATTATTTCCTTCCCTTCAATTTCTTAATTCCACTGCTAAGTGAAGGTTAATTGGACGTAAAACTTGAAACTTAAAATAAGTCTAAACATAGAAGTGCATAATGAACTCAAACTCAATCTTATTAACTTAAATTGAACTTGAACAAGAGAAAATCTTCACTAAGCAGTAAAGATAAGAATCTAAATAGATTAGATTAAACTAGATTATATTAAACTTATTTAATTCAAAATTGTTCATGTCGAATCAAGATGGCTCCGACTGCTTCTAATCACTAGGATGATGTGAATAAGTAATTGAGTAGGCTAAAGTTAAGCTATGATACCACAATATTGAAGTTCTAATTCAAGACCATATTGCTTTAGCCTATAAACAATCACATTAAATTACGAAAATTAATTCTCTGACCTGAGATGAAGCAATTGAAGCCGATGTCTGGTTTTGCTACTGGTTCGTCACCTCTTCTCGACGCCTTTTCACCTTTTTATTTGCAGCTGGTGGGGCTCGGGGGCAATCCAAATAGAATTCTTAGTTTCTTACAACCGATCACGGTATATTTAAATCTAGCTCTTATTTTCTTATTTGATTCGGTCTCTGATGTCTGTGTTTTTTTTTCTTTAGCCAGCGTTACATATGATATGAATAAAGTTACACCGGCCCGTTACTACATATCATAGAGTACTATTCATCTTACGTGCATCCGCCGATAGACAGAGATCATCAGATCGAGATGGAGGAGCCGCCGTCCTCGTTGTCATCGCCGGCTCTGCCGCTCGACATGGTCGTGGAGATCGCCGAGCGCTCCGACCCCATCACGCTCCTCCGCTGCGCCGCCGCGTGCAGGCACCTCCGCCGCGTCATCTGCGGCGCCGCCGGCTTCTCCCGCAACCTCCGCCTCCGCAACGCCGACGGCTTCGTCCCTGGCCTCCTCCGCGGCTTCTTCCTCCAGCCTCGCCGCCCCTCCCCCGACCCCGACTACCAGCCGCTACGTTTCGTCGCGGCTGGCCATGCCATCGTCGGCGGCGGCGGTGGCGCCGATCAGATACGGTCCTTCGTGTCCAGCTCCGACCACGTGTATGGTTCTATCCATTGGCGCATCGAACCCGTGGCGGCGCGCGGTGGCTTCGTCGTCCTCCGGACCGGCGACTCCTCCGGCAAAGTGTGCAACCCTATGACGGGCTACGTGCGCTGCATCGACATGCCGAGGCCGTGGTCGTCCGGGTCCTACCTCCTGCTCACCGGCGACGACGCCGGAGTCACCTCCGAGCTCCACCCGTACCGGCTTCTCTCCGTGAGCCTTCACCTGACCGGGACGGGGCGCGAGCGGCGGCGGATTCACGTAGAGATGGAGGCCTTATCCCCGGACGCTGGCTCGTGGGGCCCAACCACCGCGATCCCTGTCGAGATCGCCGGCGGCGGCGAGTACGGCAGCCCGCGCGCCTTGCTGATCCGCACGCCCGCCGTCGTCGACGGCGTCGCCTACTTCCTCGGCGGCCACCCATCGCTTGTCTTCGACCTCCAATACCAGCGCCGCCAGTTGCCCTACGACTACTTCATCCTCTGCGTCGACGTCTCCGGCGAAACCGAGATCGGGAGTGCAACATCTCCGGCGACGATCACGCGGTTGCCGACCGAACTCCGGCTGCTATCGTCGTGCACGGGCGAGGCAGACGTCTCGCCGGGGCAGCTCCTGCTGGTGCCGCCGTCGTCGTGCGGCGGCGGCGACAGGAAGTCGTTGGCGCTGCTCGTCGGCCGGAGGACGCAGGTGGAGATCTGGGCGATGAACTTCGGCGGCGGCTGCGGCGCCAGCGCCAGGTCGGCCCCGCGTCTCTTGTCGGTGTCGTGCACGAGGGTCGTCGACTTGACGACGACGGGAGTGCACCGGAGTCCATGCTCCCCGCCGCTGCCGGTGCCGGAGTCGGACGAGGTGTTCGTGTGGTCCGGCGAGGCGAGCGGCGCCGTGGTGCTCCGGCTCAGGGGGACGCTCTGCTTGCTGGACCGGCGGACGATGGCGGTCCGTGCGCTCGGCGAGGACTTCAGCGAGTTCCGTGATGGGCCTAACGGTGTGTTCCTGCCGTACGAGATTGGTGTTTCCAGTTGGGTTCCTTCGATATCTCCATGATTTTGTGAGAAACGTGGGATTACCGGAAGTCGCAACTCGCAAGCAACACCAAATTAACATGCGTGTGCTCAATTATACTCCCTCCGTTTCTAAATATTTGGCGCCGTTGACATTTTTAAATATGTTTGACCGTTCGGCTTATATTAAAAAATTTAAGTAATTATTAATTATTTTCCTATCATTTGATTTATTGTTAAATATATTTACACGTAAACATATAGTTGTACATATTTCACAAAAGTTTTTAATAAAACGAACGGTCAAACATGTGCTACAAAGTCAACGGTGTTAAATATTTAGAAACGAAGGAAGTAGTACGGAATTGCTATCCTTTTGTCAATAGAAAATCTATCTTCCAATCTTACAGATTTTGGGCCACTGGATGAACTTCGAGATTCGTGCTCCAAGCCTTCTCCAATTTCAGCGACCTCCTATTCTTCTTTGACGCCGGCGAGACCCTAGACTCCAGCAGAGGACCCTACGGGTTAGGGTCGCAGGATAATTAAGGTGAGGATGGGAGGGGTGGGGTGGGGGAGGGAGAAGACGGGAGAGTTCTCTAGCTTTAGAGGGATGGCCATGGAAGGTGGCAGCGCAGCAGTGGGCAGCGAATCGGATGGGCGGAGAGACGGCGACGACAACGCCAAAGCTGTAGGATCGGAAGCTGGCGGTGGGCTGTTGTAGGCGGCGGGGGCAAAGCAGAAGGGCTGTTAGGAGGAGGTGGTTAGTGGTGGTGCCCTGTTGTCAGAGACAGGGAAGACGGCGGTGCGTCTATGAGGGGGGAGGGGAGCAAGGGCCGGCCAGGGGGTAGGGGGCTCGCTGGCTTCGTTGACACCTTCTGGTTAGACGTCGAGGCGGGCGGAAGGGCGGAATGCGCGAGAGGAACGTTAGATATACTTTAAGATTCATGCAGAACCGCTTTTACCCTAGGTAAAGAGGGTTCTACATGAATCTTAAAGTATATCTAACGGTCCATTATTCGAAAGATAGAAGGTAGAATTTTATGTCAACAGATACATTATAGTATGTGCACTATTGTTATCAATTGTATTGTTTTCCCGATGAAGGACAAGGGTTTTGGGCCGTTTTTCAGGGACATGGAGTGGTCGATCATGTGCATGCGATGGGGCTGTCTAATTGTTAGTTCCTAAAATTAAAAATAAGAAAGATCAGGGAAGTTTGGATGGCTTAGATTGCTCAAGACTTATGTGCTACAGTAATCAACATTATATATTCTTCCCTCCTCCCATTACTCACACAACACCTACATAAGCCTGTACTCCTCTATCTTCCTCCGTCCTACAACATTTTTCTTCTTCAAGTCCGGCAACATCAAGCTCCTATCCCCGCTGGTCCTTCCTCATCTCTGGCAGCTTGTGCCATCTGCTTCCACCACCACTGTATCTTTAACCATTATTGTTGCCCCTAACCTTGCCCATCGCCAGCTTCCCGTCCCACAGCTACAATGCTGCGCTGCCTCGTTCACACCGCCACCAATGGTCATTCCTCTATGTGCCAGAAAAACCTCCTTCTTCTCTTGTACCAAGTACCACCTCCTACCCTGATCTAAACCCCAAGCCTCAATCCGTATGTTCTCTATTGGAGCTGGATGTGTCACTGTCACTAGAGAAGAGGAGGAGCTTGCCATCGCTGGAAATGACGCCGTCATCGTTGGGAAGCTGCCTATCCTGCCTCTCTCTTGACTGCCTCCAAAGCGGGGTGCTAGGTTGAAGGTGATTCACCTGAAATCTAGTATTTCGTGCACGTGATGGGTGGGAGGCAAGATAAAAACGTGGCTCTTGCGTAGACATAGAGGACAATGTTGGCTATGTTACTGATATACTTTATCATGGTTTTGGTCTAACCATTTTCATTAGCCTTATGATATTTGATGGGCCAACATATTAAGCTTAGGGCCCGTTCGGTAGGGTTCTAACTCCTAAATTTAACTTCAAGAGTTGGGTCTGGAGTAAAGTTGTGGAACAGCCTAAACCCACATCCACCTTTATGGTTCATTTTATGAGAGCACTCCTGCCAGCTGCACTTCCTTTTACGGTGGACTCGACCCTTAGTGACGCGCGGCTGAGGGTCCACGCGTGCAGACACGGTGGTGATGAAGGCTCGCGCACGTGGATCCAATGATGACGGCGGGCGCCCTCGACCCTTCTCCTTCCCTGGCCCTCCCTCTCGACTGATTCTCTCTTGGCAGCATTGACTCGCGTGCGGATCCAGCGGTGGCGGATGCCCTCCTTTGGGTGGATCCAACGGCGGCGGGCATCCTCATTCGCGAGCGATGGCTACACAACCTCTCCATTAGCTTCCCACGCCGACACCACTGGCACTGTGCCTTCTCCCCTCCTGAGTTCTTGATTTCTTCCCTGGGGTGGGGGTATGGTTGATTTTAAGATTCGGTTGTGGCTTGTTCGGGATGTTTTTTATATTGTTGAAATCTCATACTGTTGTTTCTGGGATTCAGTTCTTGGCGCAAGGCATCGGATTAGTGAAACCTCAAAGGTGACGGTTCTTAAACCGGCACCTTTGATTCCTCCTCATGTGTGCCTCATGCATGGTGCCAGTTTATGTGGGATTCTCAACCGGTATATATCTATTTATGTTTCTGTAGTAGTGTTGGTTTCTGTAGTAGTGTTGGTTGAGCTCTAACTCCAGAAGAGAAAGAGCTAGAGCTAGAGCCATATCAAATAGGTTCTTAGTGGGCCAATTTGCCATATCTTTTGATATTATTGCAAATATAACTTACTTTCTTTTTATGCCGATTTATAATGGGTAGGATTTCTTTTTCTATTTTGGAGTTGTTTTTTTTAATTAAAGATGGGTGGTTTTTGATGGAGCTAGCGGTTTTTTTTTTTTGTTGAAGGGAGGAATGAAGATGGCTTTGATTTTAAATTTAAAGTAGTTAAAGATAACGCATGGTATCCACATCAAATTCTGCTAGTAGACCGTAATTTTAGGGGAGTTGGGGATTTGTCCCATCACCTTATTTCTCATTTTGATTTACTTTTATCTTACCTTTTTATTACTATTAAACGTATGGTTGTTTGTCTTATGACAGAAGTTAGAAGATGTAATCCATTTCCATTATCTAAAAAAAGAACGTAATTTATTAATAACCTCATTAAAGAAAATCAATGCAACTGCTATAAGTCAAAATAATCAGACTTCAATCCGTAGTAAGAAAAGTAAGTTATTGTGCGAGATACATTGATATGGCATTTGTTTTCGTTTGCCATGTCATGGGAATTTGGAGCCGTACGTAACTGAACTCATGCAAGGCTAAGTTGCTAATCACCAAATAGTTCGTGTTCACAAACTCAGCATTTGTACATTTGTACGCACGCGAGAGTCGAAGAGGTGCGCCGAGGCTTGGAATGCAAATTCGCGCACACGTGCTAGTTAGCAAAGTAGCGAACACTAGACCCATAAGGCCCATTAACATCCTCTCACTTTTATCCGTTTCTCTAGCTGACGATGCTTCTTCCTTCTCCTTCGACAAGAACCCAGCGAGGTTGGGATCATCTTTTCCTCCACCTCTGTCGAATGCTGCTCCAACTGCTGCTCTTCCTCCGCCCTAGTGAGACATCGGTGAGTTATCGGCTTCTTATTGACAAATTCAAATCTAGAAAACTTGTACCTATTTGTGTGGGAAGTTTTGAATTTTTGAGTTAAAGTTTTTGGATACTATGATATGGAAGTTTAGGGATTTTGGTATGAAGTTTCGGAATTCTTAGCAGAAAGTTTTAGATTTTGAATCGAAAGTTGTGTGATTCAAGTTGAAATTTTTAGTGTATACGTAGAAAGTTTTAGTCTATCAGTTAAAAGTCTTATATTTTGGATTCAAAGTTTTACAATTCGAATTGAAAATTTCAGAACATGAGTACAAAGTTTTAGATTATGAATCCAATTTTTTTTTTGTAACTTTTGGTTTGATGTTTTGAGATTTCTAAATTCAAAGTTGCAGAATTGAATCGAAAGTTCTGTAATCGGAGTTGAAAGGTTTCACCACGATAGAGACGCATCGAAAAAAAACTCTCAAATCAAACGTGATGCTTAGTGTCAGGGGTGACGCGCTGTCGTGATGCAGTTGTGCACGTCAGTAATGGTTTCATGTGGGCTGCACTACTTGCTGTCACAGCGCATATGCACTAGCAAGCAGCCCTCCTGCCAAGCAGCCCATGCGACTGCTGGGGCAGGGTATGGCTAGGGATGATAATGGGTTAAGGCCCATGAGTTTTTTTTTTCAAAAATACTTCTTATAATCCTTAAACACTTTTGACTAAAAATATATAGAAATTAAGCTCACCCTTTTACATTTTGTACGCTGAAATGTTATTGGACCCATTGCATGACCGGTCGAGACAGCAAATCGGCCCAGGTAGATGAGCCGGCCCTGTGCAGAGGGCCCAACCGGCGAAGGTAGTCAGTAATAAGTGAGCTGACGGTCTGTTTGTTGGACGGAGTTTTTAGGAGGGATTTAGAGTCTAGAGGGATGTGGCTATTAACTGTTTTGTTTAGATGGGGGACATAGGAATTTTGGTGGGATGAGGATGGGGAATTGAGGAATGAACTCCCTCCTTTTCAATATCTGGGTAGGGGCAGGTAATTGGGAGGGAATTCCTCCTTTACTTCGCGTAAACAAATCTCAGCCATCCGTTTTCTTTAATGATCTAATCTCCAACTAAACTCCCTATCAATTTCTATCACCTCTACCAAACAAGAGACTGGGATGAAAAATCAAATTCCCATCTTAATCTCACCGTCAATTCCCTCGTGTAAACTCCCAATCCTCTTCCCTCAAGTTGCCAAACAAGCCGTGAGTGTGAGATCTGCCAACATATACGTTCTCTCTCTTCGCTTACGCCTACTCCCTCCGTCCCAAAATATAGCAACCTAGGAAGGAATGACAGTCCACATACATCAACTTAGAAGGGTCACATTCCCTCCTAGGTTGCTATATTTTGGGACGGAGGTTGTAATTTACAAGTTCAGGGGGTGTTTAGATCATAGTGTAAAGTTTTAGCGTGTCACATTAAAATCATGGAGCAATTAGACTTTAAAAGATTCGTCTCGCAAATTAGTCTAAACCTATATAATTAGTTATTTTTTAAATCTATATTTAATATTTTATATAGGTATTTAAACGTTCGATGTGATATGGCGAAAAATTTTAGGTGGAATCTATACAGGGCCTCAGATGCAAAGGATGAGGACAAATTAAGCCGGCTTCATGCGTGGAGCAAGCCAACCAAAGCGCTCCCGCTGCCCTCCACGTCTCAGCACGCACCACCCCTACGTGTCCCCAAGCCGAGCAACCTCCTATCCATGCAAAATACTAGAGCGGCAATGCAAATCTTTGCTCTCTCTCTGCCAAACTTGTGTTCTTGCGACCCTGCTCTGCTCTGATACGTGTCTGAAGCTGAAAACGATCGAAGAGAAGATCGGTCGAGGTTGCCGAGGAGGAAGGAAGGAAGGAAGGAAGAAGGCGACGATGGTGGATTTGGTGAACGGCGTGCTCAACTGGGTGGCGACGCCGGCCATGGTGGCCAGCCTGCTGCTCTTCTACCCGCCCTACTACCTCTTCAAGACCGTCCACTCCTTCCTCTCCTACCTCTTCCCCGACGACCTCGCCCGCAAGGTCGTCCTCATCACCGGCGCCTCCTCCGGCATCGGCGAGGTGAGGCGACTGACGGCCACGGGCTCTGCTCTGTGTATCAGCTTTTTGCAGGCTGACTGTTTTTCTTTGAATTAATTGCTCTGATTTTTGTGTGTTTGGTCATGTTTTGCCATTGTGTTCGTGTGCCTGCTTTGTAGTATCGCATCTTTGTTCTATTATTTTTTTCCAAAACTATGATAACTGTCTGACAGTTTCAGAGTAAAATAGTTTGAGCATGTTGTTACTTTGAAGATCCCAAATTAGGCGCGTTGCGTACAATTTGTAAAAGTTCGAAGGATATATAGTACCACCATATGTTTGTGCATAGTTCAACTTTAGGTTGTTGTAATTCTCTGTTTATTTCTGTATGCCGAGATGAAGATTTATTTGCGTATGTCACGTGATGATTTTTGCAGCAATTAGCATACAACTATGCTCTGAACCGGGCATCATTGGTCCTTGTTGCAAGAAGAGAATGGAGCCTGCGTAAAGTTGCCGATCAAGCGTTCGAGCTTGGAGCACCTGATGTGATCATTCTTCCGGGCGACGTTGCGAATCCTGAAGACTGCAAAAGATTTGTTCAGACCGCAATCGATCACTACGGGCGATGCAAGTCTCCAATATCACTGATTTGTTCAGTAAATTTCTTCAGCAAAAGTATCATTTCAGTACTTCATTGAGCTTTACACTTGTTTTTCAGTGGACCATCTTGTGTGCAACGCTGGCATCGCAAGTGTTGGCGCGTTTCAGGAGATTCCAGATGTTACTAACTACAGCTCTCAATTTGTAAGAGCAACATAATTCTTGATGAGTTCTTATCAGTTCAGTGTGTAGTTTATTCAAGATCCGTAAATTAACCACTGGTATGAACTACTTCATTTTCAGGATGTGAACTTCTGGGGTTCAGTTCAGTCAACTTTTGAAGCTCTCCCTCATCTGAAAAGGAGCCGAGGAAGAATCGTTGTTACTGCGTCGGCAACCGGATGGAATCCTGTTCCAAGAATGACCTTCTACAATGTAAATTAATGTCCTGCAGTCTTAGTGAAAATGCATATGTGACAGTATTGAGACTGATGTTTGTCTTTTGCTCCTCTGCTTAGGCTGCCAATGCTGCACTGATAAACTTCTACGAGACGCTGCGGACAGAGCTTGGTAGCCAAGTTGGAATCACAATTGTAACACCTGGGTGGATCGAGTCTGAGATGTCAAAAGGGAAATTTCTCAAGGATCATGGTGAAATGGAGGTCGATCAAGAAATGCGAGATGTAAGAACACCCACTTGTCAATTTCACAAGTCCTTCTGAAATCACACTAGGCTCCTTGATCACAACATAAGATTCAGACTTCAGTACCACTGCTTTGAACATTTTTTCATACAAAGTTCTAGACTATAAGGGGGCATACAAAGAAATCTAAACTTAGGCTTCATTCGTTCCTGGGCAATCTGGGGGATTGAGAGAGAAAAGCATCTCGTTTTCCGTGCGCACGCTTACCAAACTGCTAAACGGTGCGTTTTTTACAAAAAAATTCTATAGGAAAGTTGCTTTAAAAAATCATATTAATCCATTTTTGAAGTTTAAAATAGTTAATATTCAATTAATCATGTGCTAATGGCTCACCTCGTTTTGCGTATCTTTCCAATCTCCCCAATCCCCTTCTCCTCAAACACACCCTTAGTTCAGCTGGAATGAAATATTTTACAATATATATATATTTTCAGGCTCAAATTGGTTTATTTCCCGTGGAGTACGCGAAGAATTGCGCAAAAGCCATGGTACAAGCGGTTCGGCAAGGGAAGCGTTGTCTCACCGTGCCACCATGGTTCAGCACAATGTACCTGTGGAGGGTATTCGCACCGGAGGTCGTCGAGTTCTGCTACCGCCTCCTGTACATGCACCGCCATGGTGGTAGCCAAGCTGATGCGCCGAGCAAGAAGATGGCTGAGGCTGGTGGAAAGAAGCTCTTGTATCCAACGTCGCTGCGCTCTGATGACATCAAGGATGAGTGAATGCCCAGTTCTTCTGAGCATGAACTTCAGTATATTCCTCTGAAGAACTCTGCAGGTCTGAACCTTCCATGAAATGGGCCAAATAGATAAAATCTTAGTATGAACTGTGGCTATGATCATGGAAAAATATGTATGTGCTACTATTCTGTGTATGAATAAGTTGTGTTCTAATAGTGCTGTGTTCTTAACTGGTATGAATTATGCATCCTATTTACCACTAAAAACGAGTTGCTCTGGAGTGGTAGATATGTGTGATTCAGAAGGAAAAGAAACTGGGAGCTGTGTTCCTAAGGCTATAAAACTAAGAGTAACTGTGGTAAGGATGAGTTTATTAAAAAAAATAACCTATTTAAGGTCCCGTTCCTTTTTAAGTTAAGACAGATTTTTCATTGGTTTTCGTTAGGGCACCTTTTAATCGGATAATGATACGAATCGGTCGACCAGGCGGGGGAGCAAAAATCGGCCGCTCCCCCGCCCCTGCCCCTGCATGCCGCTGGACCCATCACAGTGCTTGTCCCCACATGCAACAAATTAACCACAATACATATTTTAGAAACTCTGTTAAGGGTATTTGGTTTTTTTTTCCAGCAAAAATATTTCACTTAGTGTGGTCATAATGTTTCACTATGTATAGATTTAATGTTACAGTGAACGAAACATTCCATTGCAACAAAAAAAACCCACATATTTTGGAAACCCCCTATTAAGGAAATTTAGTTTATTTTTTTATTTCACTAAAAAACCTAGTGTACTCACAATGTTTCACTATGTATAGATCTAATGTTACAGTGAACTGAAACATTCTTTCGCTATTTGCTGAAACATTATTTTTATATAAGGTGAAACAACACCCGATTTAAATGAGTGAAACATTTTCGATCTACTTAGTGAAACAATTCCGACATACCTGGTGGAACATCGTGCAACATTTAAAAATAATTCAATAATAAGCTAAATTTTTTTTCGTCGGAATATATCCATATGTGGTCTTGTTTTGAAGATTTAATTACAACGAATTTAATGGTGCAATCGAATTATGATTTGGATAAGTAATTTAAGAGAAAAATCAGTTTAAAGTAATTTTGCACGTAAATAGAATGACGTCAGTGCTCGATTTTACCACTCCCGATCGGGCGCCCGACCGAGAGTCGTTCCCCTTTTAATCTACTAAACCATGTATTTTGAGCGAAATTTTTATAAACAAGTTACTTAAATTCATTTTTCTAAATATGAAATAATTAAAACATGATAATACGAGATTCTTGTTTGGCGTTCCCTTATTTAATCATTGGTGACTACTAATAGTGTAGGATTGCGCAGCAGAAACTAAACTAACCAAGGGGATGAATGGTCGAAGTACCCAAAAACCAAAATTTTTAGCGAAACTAAAAGTTATTCTCAAATCGATGAAGCTCGGTCTCACCACAAGTCTTTTGCCGGTCTGACCACGTCTGTGCAACCGATCTGATCGAGTCGCGTTGCCTCCTCATGTCGTCGCCGCCACTGATCTGACCGTCGTGCACTGACCGATGTGATCGTCGAACTCGAGCAAACACAAATCGATGATTTATTAAAATATAATGAAACTTTATTACCTCTATTCGTGTTTAGAAAGTTCCACAATAGCACTCCTCTCGAAAACCTCGACTAAACTCAAAACCTTAACTTTTCTATAAACTCAAGTCTCACACAATCGATACCGGAAGACCTCATCCTCCCTCTTTCAATATATACCCAAGGTAGACAGCCTAAATACACAACTCGAACTTGCACAAGAAGTCCCAACCCCTAGGAAACAATCTCTTACAAGAAATAAACTTGACAAACTTTAATCATATCGAATTTGGACTTTTTCCAAATTTGACTTTGCATCTACACAATATCTCCATCGTATATATGCCATAAGGAATTTTCACCAATCATATGCATTGATCATTAGCCGAAGCATCCCGCATAATATGCTAATCGTCCAGTTGTCATCTTCTTCCAAGTTGAATCCCTATCTATCACCAGCAACGCTGTCCCAACGCATAGACTCACCTACAAATGAATAAACAACGAAACCATATCTCTGCAACTTGACTCAAAATTAGCATACAGTAGTATTACATACATATAGTATCCATCTATAAGTCATAAACATGAATTAATCAAGAGTATCCAAATAAGCAACTTGAAACCAAAACTGACACAGAGCCGCTAGGTCAGACCGTCGGGCTAGCTAGTCCGACTGCGCAACACATGCTGGCCTGATCATGACCGGACCAAACAGTCAACAAAATCCTGTCCATCATCTGAAAAAACACACATATCTACAAACCACTTTGCCAAATAATATCCAAATATCAAAAGTAATTATCTCGCATGCCTATCGATCAAACATACTTTCATTTTACAATTTCCCCTTAATAAACATATTAGCAAACTTATCAAAAATGTTGTTTTGGTGTTTGGAAAAATAAAAACAAAGAAGTGGTAAAAAGCATCAAGTGCTCAAAATTTCAAAAGGAAATTTGTCTCACTTTTGAAAAGAAAGAAATGTCCCCACAACTTAAGATATGCACATTTTGTATCTTTTCTCCTCCTTTTGAAAATAATTTCATCGATCATTAGCATTATGATCATCAAAGTTTCGTTATTTAACTTTTGTAGACGTAATCTACCCTTCATCCTTCACTGATTTGCTTGGTTATTTCTATTCGGTCCAACAAATATTAGTAGTTATTACTGTAAAATTGTTGAATGAGTGCAAATATCAAGGGCAATAAAACTCTCATTTTACACCTTTCGATCGAAGATGTGCTGTTTGTAGGATCGAATAGCAATAACTAAGCCAACCAGGGGGTGAATGGTTGTGTTACCCGAAAACCGTAACTTTTAGTGGAATTAAAAGTTACCCTCTAATTCGATGGTGGTCGATCTAATCGGAGTTGATCTGCTAGTCTGATCGCGCCTCTGCCGTCAGTCTGATCGGTATAGATCACCCAGTCCAACTGCTAGCGTCTCCTCCTCCTACTGTCGCCGCCGCCAGTCTAACTGCAATGGTGCAATTCATGCACTCACTGGTGTGACCACCGAAACCCGGAGAAACACAAATGGAAGATGTCCCTAAGTAGATTGGAATTTTATTACTTCTCTCGGTGCTTACAAAGTGCGACAACAGTACTCCTCACAAAAATCTCGACTAAACTCGAAAGCCTAACTTTTCTCTAAACTCCACTCTCTCAAAAATGATACCGGGAGGCTACATCCTTTCTCTCTCTATTTATTCCCGAGGTAGGCAGCCTAAACACTACACCATGACCTAGTATTCCCTTCATTGCAACTGCCCTAGATAAGTGCATTGAATGGCAATTCATCTGCCGGGAAAACTATTCCCGGCACTTAAAAACTGCCCTATAAAGTCCTGTAGCAAAAGAGAATTCCCGGCAGATAATTTTTTCCTGGCAATTAACTGCCCTAGAATCACTAGAGTATTCCCGGCAGATAGTTGTATCCGTGGCAATTAACTGCCCTTGATGCTTAGAGCATCCCTGGCATATAGCCTGACAGTTAGTAGTTTTACTGGCACTTGGTTGTTTCAATCATGGACCAAATCAGTACGAATGGGTCCAATATACACAAATTCAGATCGGTACCAAATCAGCCCACAAAATCAGTACAAACTCCATAGGCATTCAACACACATTCAGCAATTCAATACCCCATAGGCTTTCAATGTGCATTCAACAACTCAGGTTTAACATACTGACTTTAAGTTGCATCAAAAAAACATACTGACTTTAAGATTCCACAAGATCAAAAGTAGTTATATCCAACACAGCAGAGTGTGCAAACACTTGCTTCAGTGTACATATATACGAGTACATTTTCTTAGCATTCATACAAAACAAGTCTATTTAATTAGCAAAAATTCCCAAGACTCTTGTATGATGATGGTCCACCGATGTGTAGATGAAATAATTCAACCAACAAGCGACCACCTTCAACATGCAACTCTTCATGTCCAGGATAGCATCAGTAGCTCTAACAAAAAGCTAGCCATTTGTACTCTCCTGTTCAACCAATACAAATTGTTGGCCAAAAGTAATGAAACGGAAACAGGCACTGATCATCTAGAATAGAACTGTATTCATCGCATTATTTACCTCATTTAAGTTGTTGAAGAAGTTGACATGACTAAGGGATTTACATTGACTTGTTGTCCATCTCGAGAATTAGCAAGTAATTCAGTCAACTTTTCCACTTCCTCACCAAGTGACTCAATTTTTCTAATAGCAGTTCTAACAAAAATCTAGCAATTCTGTAAAACAACAGAAAAGTAAAAGATTGCGTCTGAGAAGAGGGTGAAATGGCTTTCTCTTTTCATTTGCATTAACAATTATTCCATTTATACCTGATCTAACAGGAGAAACATATGTTGGATCAATAGTAATGTTTGTGCCGCCACCTAAATCAGGACATTGGTCTACATATTCAATTTCATTGTCAGGTTAAATTGTGCCTAGGAAGGTCCATCCATCTCCTATCCAAAGCTGATATTGACAATCAAATTTCAGAGGCCACTTAAAATTAGTTTGTTTCAGTGGTGTTTTTTGTGCGTGAAGTACAAGTACTCACCAGTGTGCCCATGGGAAAAAGATAAAAAACATTGCACAAGAAAAATATAACATGAGGATATAACATTTCAGCCTTTTAGCACAGTACTCATGGCAAGCAGGAGGATACTAACGGTTGTACATTTGTTGTTCGGGACTTCTGTTCGGTAGATGCTCAGCAACGTACACCTTGGATGATATCTAGGTTGATTGCAGCAAAATCGGTAGTGGACGACTAAACTGCACCATAGAGCCAAATAGTTCAAACTTGGAAATAGATTATAATGTCACTTAAAATAAATATTTGACCAAACAGGCTCAACATATACTGTTTCTCACACATGTCTAGCTCAACAATATAACTGACCAAACAGGCTCAGAGACAAGATTCCTCCACATAAAAAAAGTTGGTTTGCACACTGCTGCATATGCAACATTGACATTGCAATGCTATATATCCAAAGCCTCTAATTATCTATCCCTGATGATGAACTCTGCAATTTTTTGTGAGCAGGACGATAATAATAAGTGTATCATGGTACTACTAGGAAGAAAAGTGACAGACTGACAATGCATAGGATCTAACTGTCACAGCCAAGCAGGTAGATAATCTCTCGTTCGCTATT